GGACTACTTTGTGTAATTGTGTCATGGTCACACACAGATTGCCTGTTAGAACTAATTAACTAACTATGCGCTTACACTTTTTCGTTTCACGATCGGGCGTTTACATGCAGTTTCAACTTTACTACGTTGGTATTTAATTCCTTCTGCCCACAAAGCCGGAGAAAACGAACCATTAGTCATGGCTGGAGAGGCGTGGCGGCAGGCATTAATTGCACGTAAGTGGTTCCCCCGAAATATACACCATTCTGGAGGGTTTAAATTGTCAATTGCAACGCTGCTGCCGCAAGAAAGACGCAGGGGAAGTTAAGCCGCTCACGTGCCAAAGTCGATACAGACTCTGTAGCATATCACCTAGGATATGTACAGCTAGGACGATTGATGTTGGGCGGTATCTACTGCGGTAGCACGTGAGGTGTCCGGTATATGGGAGTGGGAAGCCCACAGAGCTACCTAAATCGTCAGGCTATAATAAACTAATCCTTAATTTCACGTGCTATATGACGGGTTAGGGGACGGACATAACAAAGAGAAGGATTATGACAATGAACTCGGTTGACTCTCAAAATACACAAATATCGCAAGCGCGGCAGCAAGATGACAATATCTGCCCGTTACGTCCACCCTTCCTTGATCCCTTGCCTCCTGGCGACATTATAATCAGGGATCCCTAAAGTAACGGCTGCGATTAATTAGTCATTTCCTGTAGTTTGGGGTCCCTGCATGATCCCAATACGAAAAGCTTAGCAATTCATGATTATCCTTAATTTATTTTTACAAATTTTCATTTACTAAATTACCGACATTTATAGTAACATAGAAAAGTCTCTGGAGACACTCTCCAAAAAACTGCTGGACGCGTACCACGCATCCTGCCCTATATCGGACACGAGAAAGAGGACCAGGCCACCCTGGTGGAATAAGGACCTTTCGCTCCGACGCAACAAACTTAAAGAATTCTTCAAAACCGCCAAGCAGGCGAAAGATGACATCATCAATGAGGAATACAAAGTCCTACTTAGGGACTACAAGAAGGAAATACGCAAGGCGCAGAGAAACTCATGGAGAAACTTCTGCTCCAATATAGAGACTGCCCCGGAAACAGCTAGACTCCGGAAGCTGTTATCGAAGCAGCCAACCATACAGAGTCAGCTCAAACGCGACGACGGACAGTGGACTGAGGGCAGCGAAGAGTCCGTAACTGCACTAATGCACGCGCACTTCCCAGGATGCACTGAGGTACCCGATGCAAATAAGCACCAGGACCTAGTAACTGGAGTAGACCATCTCCCAAAAGGTTTAATATCCTCTGGTAGAATCCACTGGGCTATAGACTCCTTTGCGAGGATAAAAGCACCAGGACCAGATGGAATATTCCCAGCCATGCTGCAAGTGACCAAGGAGGTGATCACCCCATGGCTCTACGCAATATATACAGCTTGTTTAAGCACGGACTATATCCCTATCCAATGGAGGACATCTCGAATTGTCTTCCTGCCCAAAGCAGGAATGTGCAGCCACGTGAGCCCCAGGGATTACAGACCGATAAGCCTCACCTCATTCCTACTTAAAACGCTGGAAAAGCTGCTGGACCTATACGTCAGGAACGATGTAGGGAGACAACTGTCGACCAACCAGCACGCCTACACGAAGGGGAAATCAGTGGAGACGGCACTACATTTGTTGGTAGCCACCATTGAGAGAGCTCTAAACAATAAGGAGTATGCACTTGGAGTGTTCATGGACATATCCGGGGCATTCAACAACGTTAGCACGGACGCAATAATGGATCGCCTAGAAGCGACCAACTCGTCCCCCGCCATCAACTTGTGGATAAGGAATCTTCTCAGTTGCCGGCGGGTACAATCAGAATGGGGCACCGCTTCCATGGTGAGAGGAGCCCACAGAGGCACGCCGCAAGGTGGGGTTCTGTCGCCCCTCCTATGGAGTCTGGTGGTAGTCGACTTAATCAAGAGATTCGTCAAGAATTCCTCACTTTTATGCCACGCATCGCGAACTTTTTGTTTGTATTTTTTGGCATCTTTTTAGCTTGAGAGTCGTTCTTGTAGTTTCCGTTTTTTGAAATTCGTTTCAATGTGACCAAAGTCAGAAACGAGGTATTTCTTGTAATGTTATCCCTATAGGTATTTTTAAAAGTATTTTAAAAAGTATTCTTAAGAATATTCTTAAAAGTAGCAATTATTGCATTGATAGATCATGTTTTGCTACATGTTGTAACGAATCTCTCCGGCCGGGATAGATCCCAGTCGTGACCAGGGATTCTCTTCAAGAAATTTATTTAGAGGGGACGGAAATATTTGTAGGAAATTATTATAACAGCGTATGGGGCCCGGGTTGCGAACTTACGCGCACTAAATTCCGATCATCGAGGGTCGGCACGGTGGATGCCGGACGATGTGGTCACTAGATGCCCCAGGAGCAGGCGGGGCAAACGCGCTGCTTGTCAATGGCCGGCCGCCGCGCTGCTTTTATCGACTCATCGATCTGCTTGATCGGTCGGTCCCTGACAAAAGCTGCTCGTCGCGAACTGCTTTATGCACTGCTTGCGCCTACTGCTTGTGTATACTGCTTTCGCCGGTGCGCGGAGTGGCAACTCCGGCGAACTCCTGGCGGAATTAGCTCGATCTCGCCCAGAATTTGGGCGACGTGGGTCGGGGGAATGGCCAGGGCGTCCGAGAGGCGTTCGCTAACTCCGGTTGGGCGCGGAGGCTAGCTACGGGTCGGCCAGGCCGTGTTTCACTTGTCACCGTGGTGACGCACGGTGCGCGGAATGGCCAGTGCGGGCGGGGCGGCAGCGTGTGTCGAAGTGTCCCTAATCTAGGAGTGGATACGGCGGCGGAGGCACTCGTAGTCGCGGCGGTGCACGGTGCGTGGGAAACCAGCGCTGGTGTGGCGCTGTGGCTACGGGCACAAGAAGGGGTCCCTAGCGGGGCGAGGACAGAGGAGCACGTGCCCTCCAGTCGCGGCGACACGTTGAGCCCGGAAGGAGCCTGTGCTGGCGTGGCGCTGCGGCTGTAGGTACGACAGAGGGTTCCTGAGCTGGGCGTGGACGGAGGAGTAGGTGTCCTCCAGTCGCGGCGGCACGCTGTAGCACGGAATGAGCCTGTGCTGGCGTGACGCTGCGGCTGTGGGCACGAGAAAGGATTCCTATCTGAACGAGGGCAGAGGAGCAGGTGTCCTCCAGTCGCGGCGGCACGCTGTGTACGGAATGAGCCTGTGCTGACGTGACGCTGCGGCTGGGAGCACGGGAAAGGCTTCCTAGCGGAGCGAGGGCAGAGGAGCAGGTGTCCTCCAGTCGCGGCGGCACGCTGGGCACGGAAAGAGCCTGTGCTGACGTGACGCTGCGGCTGGGAGCACGGGAGAGGATCGACAGGAGGCTGGCTGGCCTTAAAAACACGTGCGAATGGAAAAGCCGAAACGCAGTATTTGGGCCGTCAGCGGGACAGAGATCGGAGGAACCTGAAAACTGTGACCAATACTACTAGGGAAATACTACTACGGGTAGGTTCGATTGTTAGTTTATTGTTATAGTTTATCTAAGGGTGAGTCCTACTACTGCCTGACAGAGTTTACTCCTGCAACTTACGAATCTATCCCACGTGTCTGCGGGCGCTTAGCTGTAGATCGCGGTCGTTGACTGGCAAAAGATTCGGCGCGTGAATGCGTGGGCTCTTGTAGTTGATGTCACTGTGTAACGCGTACGTCGCGGTCGTGGACAAGGACACGATGCACTTCGATTTCGACTTGGTCGCGGAGACGCGGCGATGGGCACGTCTGCCTCGGTGCAAAGTTTTCAACGGAAGAGAGCGAATGACGGAAGACGCGAGCTGTCATAGCTTTTGAGTGAACCGGTGGTTCGAACCGGTTCACCGAGAACTGATCTGGTTCGACTAGTCGATAATGTACCCGGTTCAGCGATCTCTGAGGTGCTGAACTTAGCTTATTATTTTAACTTAATTGTCCCTACTTTAAATATACTTCAAGGTGGTCTTGCTTACGGCTCCAATGCCAACGAAAGATTTAATAATTGAAGTGGCTTCAGTGCCGTCTTACTACCTAAAATTACAGACTAGTTATAACATAAGGGTGGGATTATCTATACACTTAGTCTATATGTTTATCTTAATAGGTAGGGTTGTGCGCCGAAGGAATGGAGGCGTCACACTCCCTCCCTACTCCGCCGGACCGAAACGGATTTGGACCTCTCCTGATGTTTTCATCGTGACCTGGTAGGGGCCCTCCTGGGTGCGGACGCGGAAGCGTTGGCGGCTATAACGGGCGGCGTAACTCCGGCGCTCAACCTCCTGCCAGACCGCCAGTGGGACTCGTTGGTCGCGGGTGTTGCTCCACCAAGCGACTGGAATGGCGACTCGCTCGGGCATTGGGTCGTCGGTAGTATAAAAGTCTCCCGCAGGGACTTGGCGAGGGAAGCGTAGCGCTGGAGGTGGGAGCTCGTCGGCGGTGGTGGCCGCAGGGACTTAGCGAGGGAAGCGTGGCGCTGGAGGTGGGACCTCGTCGGCGGTGGTGGCCGCAGGGACTTGGCGAGGGAAGCGTGGCGCTGGAGGTGGGACCTCGTCGGCGGTGGTGGCCGGGGCTGGCGCTGTCGGGGGTGCACTCGGGTCCCAGTCTGGGATTAGCTCCTGGAGCAGACCTTCCACAGCAGGCTCGAACTCCTCCATCAATACATCCATTGTGCCTGGAGAGAGATCGAACCCGCGATCTCCGGGGCCGACACGTGGGGTGGCTGGTGGAGTGACCTCCTCGTTGATCGTGACGCGGCTGTGGGTCGATTCTTGGCGGTTGGTCTCAACAGCATTGGGCGGCGTATTCTCCTCGGTGGATATCACACGGCGGTGAACCGCAGATCGGCGGCTTGGCGCGGCGACGTCCGGCGGCGGTCGGGGTCGCACCTCTTTGCGTCGGAACCTCTGTCCAGTCTCCGTCTCGCTGTCGCTGGACTCGCATTCCCACTGCATAGCCTTTCAGGTGGGCTGGTAGCCATGCTCGCCTGTCTCGTCGGCGGTGTGAACCGAGCCTCGGCTCGTGGACGCTAGTGGAGCGTTGTCGTGGGTCTCGCCGGTGATGAGGAGCGCGTGCTGGCTCGTGGACGCCAGTGGGGCGTCGTCGTAGGTTTCGTCGGTGATGATGAGCGCGCGTTGGCTCGTGGACGCCAGTGGGGCGTTGTCGTACTTCTCGTCAGTGATGCGGAGCGCGTGTTGGCTCGTGGACGCCAGTGGGGCGTTGTCGTACTTCTCGTCAGTGAGGCGGAACGCGTGTTGGCTCGTGGACGCCAGTGGGGCGTTAGCATCTGCCCGGTCGCCGGGGAAGATGGGTAGGGCCGCATCCTCCCCCAGTGCTGGCGACGGCGGGCGGACCTCAGGGGTGTTCCCCATGTACATTTCCCAGTCCTCGTCCGGGGCCATTACACATAGCCTCTCCGGTGACGGGGGAAAGGTGACGATCGGGTCGGGAGTCGGCCGGAAGGGGGCCTCGATGAGGATTGAGGTATAGCGGGTATGGATCAGCTGGATCCACGATCCCCGCCAGTAGCCGCAACGGTCCTCTCCCTCCCAGATGAAGTGTGCCGCCGAGGGGGCATCACCGTCGGGCTCGCTGTCGCTGCTGATAGTTTGAGCGTCATCGTCGTCCTGCTCGCTGGCTCCCTCCCCGTGGTACCCGGGGTACGGAGGTGTGGCATCACTATCGGTGATGTCTTCCAGCTCGTAGTCCTCGTCGCGCGGAGAGGCAGGCTGGCTGGAGGTTAGAGAGCCTTCCTCCTCGTCGTCCTAGTCTGACTCAGGGTCCTGCTGGCGAGGGCTGCACGGACTGTAACGTTCTCGTGCCGGTGGCACTGAAGCGGCCGGGTTTTGGGCCCCCTGGTAGTGACCTGGCGTGCCCGGGTTGTGGAACCATCGAGAATGACCCGGCGCCTCCGGGTTTTGTGGGCCTCGATGGGGTCCCGTATAGCCCGGGTTCAGAAAGTCCAGTCGGGCCGGCGGAGCTTCGGAACATGGGATCCTGCGCCCAGTGCTGTCCATGTAGAACGGGGAGATCGAGCGGCCCGATGGTCTTGGAGGCGTTGGTGGCGCGGCGCGCCGTGGTGGCGATGTTGGGGGAGATTCGTCCGAAGACTCGGACATCGGGCGCGGCGTGGCCCGGCGCGGTGGTGCTCTAGACGTAGTGGGCCGCATCGGGGGCGACGGGGCTCGGGGAGGGCCTCGAGTCTGTCGAATCACGGTTGGGCAGGCTCTGGTGAGTCTGCCGGCGTAAAACGTGCCAGGACGCATCCGGGGATCTCGGGGGGTCGCCGGTCGGCCATCGTGTCCATTCGGAGCCACGTTCTCTTCGTCGCTTGAGTCGATGACGATGGGCTCCATCCTGACTGGGTACTCGTTGGTGCGAGTGTGCGCTTACATAGTCACGTCTAGGGGGGAGAAAAAGAACTATCCAAACTTTGACTAACCAGTACTTAAATGTTAATGTCCTAACGGGCAGTAGTAGGCAAACGTTCTAATGTTAATCTAATTGCTAACACTGGTCTTAGGGTTAGAGGAAACCTAGTTGGCTACTTAAATTCACCCCTCGCTGATATCGTGGTCGGGTGACCGTGGCTTGTCGGACCCGGGTTGAACACCGGCGTTGTCCTCCGACATGGCGTCGTCGTCGATGTCTGCATCACCTGTGGGAAGAGAAGAATGGAACTCTTTTAAGTCGGCGATATTGGCAAGGCGGCCCTTTCGTTTCCCGAGCAAGCGGACTCGGGCTATGTTTGGGGACGGAAGGGCGACCACTTTATATATATTTTTTTTTTTTTTTTTTTTTTTAGGCTTTGCTTTTATTTATTGAATCTTCTCATTTATGAGACTAACAATAAGTGTATCAAATCTTACAATACTACCTAACTAGCAGTCATGAGACTGGTACAGAGTAAATGGCCCTGAATAATTATGGCTGGGTTGGATGGTCGTTACGTAGTAGGCGGCTTCTTCTGGAAACTTTTATCACGTCCCTTGCTAAAGGATTTGGATGGGTGGAGAGTTTTTCCTTGTAGGACGCTTTTTGTTTTTCTATTTCGTTCTTAACTGCAGGAATGCCGAGATCCCTGTGGATGTTTTCGTTGCGAATATACCATGGTGCCCCAGTGATAGTTCTCAGGATTTTTGATTGGGCGCGCTGTATGATGTCTAGATTGGTACTGCACGCGTTCCCCCAGAGCTGGGAGCCATACGTCCATATTGGCTTTAGTGTGGAGTTGTAGAGCAGGACCTTGTAGTCCAGACACAGGGGCGATCGGGAGTTTATGAGCCAGTGGAGGCTGCTGGCTTTTAGTTTTAGATGAAGTTTCTTGCATTCAATATGTCTTCGCCATGTTAGGCGTCTGTCCAGGTGGACGCCCAGGTACGTTACCACGTTGACTTCGGGGATCAGTGTGCTGTTCAGGTAGAGCGGGGGGCATGTTTGTCTGTTGAGAGTGAACGTTATGTGCTTACACTTTTGTTCATTTATTTTGATACGCCAGTCAGATAGCCACTTCTCGACTACCTTGAGGTGGTTGGCGAGCTGGGCTGTTGCACGGACTGGGCATCTGGAACGGCTGAGGATCGCAGTGTCATCAGCGAAAGTGGATAATGTTAGCTGGTCGCTTGTGGGGATATCCGCTGTGTATAGAACAAATAGGGTAGGCCCAAGTGCACTTCCTTGTGGGACTCCAGCTTCGATTGAATAGCTTCGATTGAATAGGTGCCGGATGTTGTTGCGTTGCACCTCACTGCGAAGACTCTGTTGTAGAGATACGACTCAAGTAATTTGTGTGTGTATACCGGCAAGAGTGTTTTTATTTTGTGCATGAGGCCGTTGAGCCAGACGCGGTCGAATGCTTGAGAAACGTCGAGAAATATCGCGCTGCAATATTCTCGATGCTCGAAGGCTGTGCGAATTTCTGATGTTATTCTGTTAACTTGCTCGATAGTTCCATGTTTTTCTCTGAAGCCAAATTGATGAGCTGGGATAATGTTGTGAGCTCCCAGATAAGGGATTATGCGCTTTAGTAGGCATTTTTCAAATAATTTGGACAAGCATGATAGTAGACTTATTGGTCGGTAAGATGACGGAATCGTGTGGTCTTTTCCGGGCTTCGGTATCATTATAATTATAGATTTTTTCCATTTTGTTGGGTAATGGCCGAGACTTATGATCCCATTGAAAATTTTAGAGATGACCTCAATAGCACAATTCGGAAGTTCAATTATCATTTTTTGAGTTATTAGGTCAACGCCGGGAGCCTTTTTCGGCTTCAGTTCCCTGATGACCTTCGTTATCTCGTTCGGACGAAATGATGCTGGAGTAGATTCCGTTTCAGTGTGGATTTGCGGTAGATCAAATGGATTTGCAGCAGGGTTCGGCTGGAAAACGCCCTGGAGATGTGAGGCAAAAGTTTCGGCTCTGTCTTTGTCGCTGCGGGCCCAGCAACCAGATGACATTCTTATCGGGGTGATGGTTTCAGCCGGTGAGCTTAAATTTGGGTGAGCTCTCCATAAGGGATGCTTTGTGCTGGTTGGCGAGAGTTTTTCAATATATCTTAATTGTGCTTTTTCGGCATCTTGCTTCAGGGCCCGGCTTAGTTTGCGTGTGGCATGGCGATCTATTGGTTTGCCACGCCCGTCGCAGACGCCTCTTTTCTTGGATAAGCTGTTCAATTTGCTGGTTCGTTTTGAATTTGATTTTTTGCACATCCGTCTGTTGTGGTGTTGAGATTCTGGCTGCAGTCACAAGTACCTCTTCCAGTGCGGAGGTGGAGGAGTCGATGTCGGTTTCAGTATTGAGCTGGGGGTCTAGCTCAATGTGGGAACTCACATACTTTTTGTATTTCATCCAATTGGTTCTGTGCGACGTCAGCCTATAGGGGCGATCCGTAGTTTCTGGGCTTTGAAGGAGGGTTATCAACAGCGGCGAGTGATCTGAAGAAAGGTCTGGAAGGGCCTTGGCGTTTATTAAATTTCGTGGGATGTTTTTTGTCACCGCGAAGTCAATTAGGTCGGGTATCTTTCTGGGGTCTGCTGGCCAATATGTGGGGCTACCAGGGGAAACGTAGTCCAGCTTATTTCTCACATTGATGAGAGCGTTGTACAGTTGTCTTCCCTTGGGGGTCACGAGGCGGGATCCCCAATGCGTATGCTTGGCGTTGTAATCTCCTGCAGCTATAAATCGATCTCCAAGTGAGTTGTAAAAATCCATGAATTGACCTTCAGAGATTGCAAAGCGAGGTGGGCAGTAGACAGCAGCAATGCAAAGGTTGCCGTTACCTGACTGCACTTTTATGGACGTAGCTTGCAGGTAATTTGTTGCAAACCTTTGGTGGAAGTGGTGTTTGATGCGTTCTCTGATAAGGATGCCGGTCCCGCCGTGGGCTTTACCATCTGGATGATCTGTGCGGTAGAAGGTATAACCTCTTATATGAAAGTTGTATCTGCTTGTGAGGTGCGTTTCAACCAGTAGCATGGCGTCGATTTGGTTTTCGTTTAGAAATTGTGTTAGTTCAAGTTTATGCCGTGAGACGCCATTGGCATTCCACGTGGATATACGTAGATTGGACATTGATTATTTTGACTGTTGTGCTACGAGCAGCTGTATCACCATATTCTGATTCTGGACGAGCGTTTGCATGGTCGTTTTCATAAATGACATGAGTTCCATCATGCTTTGTTGCATGGTCACCATCATGGATTCCATGTTGTTTCGTGGCTGCTCTGGGGCCTGCTGAGCATTTACTGAGTTTGAGGGGAGTGGATTTTGCATACCTGTCCGTAGAGCTTCGGCGTAGGAGATGCCCGTGGGGGCATTTAGCGGACCAAAAGAAGATCTGGCTGCTTTGGCAAAAAATACATCTGGAGTAGTTTTTGAATTAAAATACACATTTTGTGTATTTTGTTGGCGTGTAGCTGTCGCCCTTCGCATGCGACTCTTCAGCTCCTTGTAGACCTCACAGCCTCTGTAGTTAGCTGTATGGTTTCCTCCGCAGTTTCCACATTTTTTCGTGTTGGGGTCTTCTTTGTTCGCAGGGCAGTGTGCGGAGTTGTGGAAGTCTCCACAGACTACGCAGACTGACCGAAGGGTGCAGTATGTCCTTGTATGACCATACTCCTGGCAATTTGTGCATTGCACAGGACCGTTGCGTTTGTGAGGTTCTTCCACGGTGAATCTTCGATGCAGTAGGAACTGCAACTTGTAGATCGGGTGAACTTCATTCTTCTTTAGGGCTTTACTGTCTGGCTCAAGTTCGACTTTGAAAAGAGGTTGCGGCTTTTTGTTTTTGTTGATAATGTTGCTAACATTCTTGGCAAAGAAGCCCTTGCCTTTCAGGGCTTCTAGTATCTCGGAGGGGGCGACATCTGGTTCAATTCCTTTCAGCACTACTTGCAGTCCCTTGCTGCTTTTTAGTTGGTAGGTGTAAAAGCTCTTTTTTGCTTCCTGCAGGTAATTAGACACAGCTCGAAAGTGTTCTTCTGTTTTGGTTTGAACTTTGGTTTCGCAGATGTTCCCTTTAATAATTGGAACAACATGAAAGTTTCCGTCCCCGACCACCGCAACAATTTTGTTGACCAGGGCGTTTGAACTTTTCTCCCTTATATATATAGGTGGGGGCTTTGGCTGTTTTTGAGTCTCCTGCTCCAGCTCTGCTTCATTATTCTCACCAGCTGCTAGCGGAGAAAATTTGTTGGTGTTGTTTGGGTCGTAGCTTTTGGTGACACGGTTGATCTTAGGCTTGTTACCAACCGTGTTATGGGGGCTAAGCTTACGCTTAATTTGGATGTAGCGATCCATGCCAGTCTGTATGGCCGGAACCGCTTTTTGCTTATCGGAGCTCACGGTTTTTGTTACCATTGTATTTTGCGCTGCGGCCGTTGGCACCGATTTCGCAATATTGGTATTTGGTTTAGTTGTTGCTGTTGCTTTTGATGCGTTTGCAGAAATTGCAGCTCTGCTTGTTGTTGGTGCGTCTTCCATCGAAGCCGCTGGTGGTGGGGTTTGGCATTGGGAGCTCCAAGATGTAGGAGCTGGAATAAGTAGGGCGGGAGAGCAAGAGCGCGCTCTCGTGCCGTCGGCGGTCAGTAGAGCCGGGTTGGGCTTGGTAGACGTTTTTTCTGCTTCGATATCGCGAGTTGAGAAATAAGAGAAAACACCGTTTCTTTGGTTTACAGAGGTTCTACGCTCATTCTTTTGATCGCCGCTCATTATTTTGAGCTTGTTACGCGTGGCACCATATAAATAAACTTTGCAGCTCAAAAACACGTCTCACGCACTAGTGTCCGTATGTCATACGCACTGTAGGGCTTGGCCTAGCTGACAGTACGTAGTTTAGAGTTCCGAATTTACTTTT